TCAGGGCTGGGGATGTGGCTCAAGCCGTAGCGCGCTTGCCTGACATGCGTGCTGCCCGGGTTCGATCCTCAGCACCACATACAAACAAAGATGTTGTGTCCGCCGAAAACTAAAAAATAAATATTAAAATTCTCTCTCTCTCTCTTTTAAAAAAAAAAGATCAGGATTCACTTCAAGATAGGATAATGAATAGCAGGTAAGACATTAAGTATATGAGGAACATAATTTAATGATCTGTGGTGCATATTTCATTTCCTTGTTTCACGAACACTTCATTTCTACTTCTCGCTATCCTTCCGTTTACCTACAGAGGAACGGAATCAAATTTCCAAGGAACAAATGGTAAGCACAGTACCCTATATCCTTCCATACTCACTCACTGCATTTCCTCTTTTTTTTTTTTTTAATCTTATTTTTTTTTGGTGGGGTTCTTTTTTTTTTGTCTTTTTTGGAACTGGGGGTCAAACCCAGGGCTTTGCGAATGCAAGGCAGACGCTTTGCCACTGAGCTACATCCCAGCCCCTGCATTTCCTATTGCAACCAATGACATAGTAACTGTTATTTTCTATTCTACATCTTAGCTGTACTCCTGTAACGCAAGGCAATTCAAATATAACACCAAACCAAACAAAAAACAAACAGCAATAGTAACAACTAAGGCCAGCTTTCCTGAGACAGATGTCAAATCCAAGCAAGTGTTACAAAAATAGAATTGTTGAGAATTCAAATTATACTACAGAACTATAGGAACAAGAACTTCATAGAGGCTGGGGATACAGCTCAGTTGGTAGAGTGCTTGCCTTGCAAGTACAAAATCCTGGGTTCAATCCCCAGCACACACACTCACATTCAAATAAACAAACAAATAAATAAAATAAAAAGTCATGGTACTAATATAAAAGCAGACACATAGAGCAGTGGTACAGAATAGAAGACACACAGACAAACCCAGTCATCTGATCCTTGACAAAGGTGCCAAAAACATACATTGGAGAAAAGTCAGTCTTTTTAATAAATGGTGCTAGGGAAACTGGTTATCCATATGTACAAGAATGAGGCTAGAACCTTCTCTCTCACCCTGCTCAAAAATCAACTCAAAATGGATCAAAGATCTATGAGTTAGACCAGAAACTATGCAACTTCTAGAAGACAATGTAGCGTCAACATTCCAACAACTTTCTCAACAAGACCCCTAAAGCTCAGAAAAAAATGCCAGGAGTTAGTAAATGGGATGGCATCAAATTAAAAATCTTCTGCATAGCAAAGGAAGCAATTAAGAATATAAAAAGAGGGGCTGGGGTTGTGGCTCAGCGTAGAGCGCTAGCCTAGCATGTATGAGGCCCTGGGTTCGATCCTCAGCACCACATAAAAATGAATTAAAAAAAAAAGTACAATACCTTTCTGTCCAACTACAACTAAAAAAATAAAAAAAATTTAAAAAAGAATACAAAAAGACAACTTACAGAATGAGAGAAAAATCTTTGCTAGTCACTCTTCTCAAAGAGGATTATATCCAGAAAATATCATGAATTCAAAAAACTTACCACCAAAAAAACCGTAGACCCAATTAATAAATTGTCAAGATTCTTAACTGTAGGGGCTGGGGATGTGGCTCAAGTGGTAGCGCGCTGGCCTGGCATGTGTGCAGCCCGGGTTCGATCCTCAGCACCACATACAAAGATGTTATGCCCACCAATAAATATTAAAAATTCTCTCTTTCTCTCTCTCTCTCTCTCTCTCCTCTCTCTAAAAAAAAAAAAAAGATTCTTAACTGTAGTCAACAGAAACTAATCTGATTAGTTCAAGAGAAGAATTTGTCAAACAATAAATAAAAACAGCTTACAGAACCATTGGGAGAGCTGAAGAAACAGACTGTTGGGCAAGATGCCAGGAACAATACCCCAAAACACACTGCAGACTGGGCTGCCAAGGGAGCTGCTCCCTCAAGGATGGACCAGGAAGCTGCCAAACAAAAGGCACCAGCCAAATCAGGAAGCTGACACTATAGCTGCCAATCCAGACCACATCTGCTCTGTCAAAATGTGTGTCACCAAAAGGATGGGCCGGCTACCCTCAGAACCTGACCTGCTTCTCTCCTTGTGATTACCTTAAGCAGTCTTGTGCAAGTGCTTTATATAGGGCAAACCTCAGTTCACCAGGGAGACTTAGTTGCGACTGTTAGGGAGAGTGTGGGAAAAGCACTTTTGAGTGTTCTAGTCTCACCATGTCCCAAAGGAACTACAATGGATATGCAGACAGCCAATCAGAATCCAGCCCTCAAAGAGCAAGTTCTCTCCACACCCCATGGAGAGGAATTCTCAGAACACTTCTTTGTACAAATTCAATATTCTAATACAGTGGGTTCTCAAATCATCTGAGGATCTTATTTAAAATCAGATTCTGGGGGCTGGGGATATAGCTCAGTTGGTAGAGTGCTTGCCTCACATGCACAAGGCTGTCGGTTCAATCCCCAGCAAAACACACACACATACACACACACACACAAGTAAAATCAGATTTGGAGACTAGGTCTGGAGTAAAGCCTGAGGTTTTCTGTTTCTAACAAGAAATGGTGACACTGACAGTGCTGGTGGAGCAGCCACACTGAGTATCAAGGGCTCGCACCGTTTCTGTTTTTATTTAAACAAACAACTTTTTAAAAAATCTTTCATCACTGGTTTTATAAATAAAGCTTTACTGGAATGCAGGTCCATTTTGTTATGTATTATGTGTTATCTCTGGCTACTTTTGCCTTACAATGGCAGAGTTAAGTAGTTGCAACAGAGACTGTCTGACCTGCATAATGAATTTTTCTACTCTAAAAGTATATATTATCTGTCCATTCTTTTACACTATAGAATGAGGATATAGTGTCACATTGCAATATAAGTATTTTTAACAAGATAAAGATTTTATCTTCTATTGGTTATGCTTTTAAATTGTTTTATATTCAAGTCTTAAAAGGCTTCTGAAATCCTAGTCAGTAAAGGCTACCAGTTTTTTTCTAATATTTATTTTTTAGTTGTAGGTGGACATAATATATTTCATTTTTATGTGGTGCTGAGGTTTGAACCCAGTGCCTCATGTGGCTAGGCGTTTGTACAAGGAACTGTCATTCCCTTTGCTGGGGCCTAATTTAAGCATGGGCTTATGAAGCAACTCTGGACCACCAAACATGAAGAGTCTACAGGGGTATTCCCAGGGAAGGTTTCTTTCTTCCAAATAAAAAGAGACCCCTAAGGCAAAACTATTTATCCTGTATTTGAAGAGTGTGTGAAGGTAGAGCAGGAGAAGCCACATGGTGACCACAAGGAGAGGAGCCAGGAACAAAAGCCAATGTACCAGGGATGGTGGAACAAAAAGGTGGGAAAGCCCGGGGCTCTTGGTACCACTGAGTCAGCCAACCTGGGACTTGTGATGTGATATGATAAACCTGTTATTGAATAATAAGGACATATTCTTTTCCCCTGCATAAATCCTAACAGATAAGAGTCACATATTATTTACAAAGGACATTCATACTCATGTTCTCATTTGAAACTCACTCTATCTCCCCTCCTCCCATGGTGGAGTAAACAGGAAGATATTCAAGTGAGGGGCCAAGTTCAGAGAGTTTAAAACTATTTTTTTTCCACAGGTCACGAAGCTTTTAACTAACAGAATGAGAAACCAAGATTTCCATGGCTGACTTCCTTTCATCATATACCCTCTGGATTCCATTTGGTTCCACCAGGTTAGTCTCCTCAGTAGCCACTGTGAGAACACCTTCTCATGTCTACTCTGTTGATGTTTATCATTTCCTGTATCTGATCATTTCCATTTTGGGTATTTCTTCAGAATCTGCATTATTCCAGCCACTGTTCCATCTAGCACAGATCTATGTATTAATATTATTGTCTATTTATTTAGTATGTGTATTAGGCTCAGGAAGAGGGGAATTTTATATGGGAAATATGATTTTTGCCTTTGGAGATTACAATCCAGTTACAGATACCAAATACAAGATAAAATGAGTTAGACATAAGCCAATGTAAGCCTGTAGGAGTTTGCAATGAGAAACCTAGGATGTTCTTAGGATACAATTAGTCTAAGGGGACCTCAACAAGAGCTAGACCCAAAACAAATGTAGAATGTAGACTAGCCCTAATGTTACTTTATATGTTAGTCTTAAATGCCCTCTAGAACAAGGAAAGGGATTTTAAGACATACTGCCTATGTGTGCCAGGGTAAGAACATGAGGACAATAAACCTTATACAATTAATTATGAGTCCTAAATGAGATACCATATGCAGAGCAGAGCATGGTGTTGCCACAACAGGCTATGGAGAAACATCAGTTCCTTCCTCTTGATTCTAAATTTCAGTCTGTTTCTCAGTTTCCTCCAGACTGCAAAATTGTGAAATATGGGAACTAAGGGCCCATGACTTGACTTTTTCTGTTTATTTGGAAGACTCTTATATTATGGCCTAGGAACTTACTACATGTATGTTGAATACCATATGACTAAATAAAAAAGAAGATGCTGTCATTTTTTCAGGCTGCACCATTACCAGCTCCGGCTAACAGAACTGTTGCTTTAGCCACCATTTATTTCATGGCTAGGATCCAGGAAGCATGGGAGAAAAGGGTCTCTTCTTCCTCCTCATCCCAAGGTTAATGAGAATGAGCCATTATACTAATGAAGACTGTTTTGTTTCTTAGGGCTGATACTTGATCCTCTGCCACAGGTAACAGGCAGTGTTGGAGGAGATCCATGGAAAGTCACAAAGGACTGTCAGGTATCACTGGATATAGTTACCACTACTATGAGTGTCTGATAAACATTACCATGTCACACCCAATCATTCCTTTAATCAAGAAGACACATGGTAACCATTAGATGGTATCTCTGTGATCTTAAGTATGCTTATTCAGTGGGTGGTGATAAATTAAAGAATCACACAGATAGGACAGGCTCATGGTCACGAGGTACAGCTGCGCCCTTTGCTTCAGTACATACCTCCTCGCAAACTTCACGGACTGCTGCTACACTTGGCTCCTCCTCAGGCTCCATGCCACCTCCAGGGACAATCCATCGGTCTGGATGGCGACTACTGCTCACCAGCAGCACCTGAAGTCACAGAGGTCACACGGAAAGGGTTAAAAATTTAAAAAGACATTTGGACAAATGTAGTTTAAACCCCACAAACGCTGAAGTTATAATTAAGACCCATTCCTTATTTACGCCTCTCCAAATTGCTTTTTTATAAGATAGGTTTCTGTTTCATTTCAAAAGGACACTCTGCCTAGTAAAAACAGAAGGGTACCTGCTTGACCTCTCCTCAGACTCAGTCCTCAGTCTCATCTCCTCCCTGTCCCTTTCTCTAAAGCCCGTTGAACATATACCTGACAAAGTTACCAAAAGACAACTTTAAAAAATGCTACTAAAGGGCTTGTAAGCACCAAGAGAGCTGCCAGAAGGCACCCTTGGCTGTGGTTGCCACCATGGTCCAATGCTTTCCGTCCACAGTTCTCTCTCCTGTGTGTCCAAATTCTTGTTCTATCAGGTGGCCACAGGCCAATGTAACTCACCATCCTAAATTCTCTAAGCCCTAAGGGTGTAATGAGAACCTTCCTCTATGGGAGAAGCAGAATATTATTTTTATCATTCTCTCAGGGGAAATAAATCTGGACTTTTTAAACTAGGAAATGTTATTAATGGAAAGAAAACTAAACAAACCACATAAAAAACACTGTCATAAAATATAGTTTCACTAATTAAAGAAAAAAGAATACAGCTTTAGTAATTGAAACTTAAACCAGTATTCTGATCACAGCTGAAATAAAATTTAAATGTCTCTACTTCCTTTCCCTTCCCATCTTTGGGACAAATGCTAAGTAAAGTCAGCTGGACTCTAATTGGGAGGTAGAGTTGGACTGGCATTATTTCTAAAACTAAAGGAATGCTTAACTATTCCTGAATCTCCTCTCTGATGATGATGACTGGGCCTCCCTGTTCTAAGCCATTTTCCCTGTGAGCTCTTCACTTCTGCTCTGCAGTCATTCTGTTGCCCTCTCTGGCCCATTTACCCCAATGCCTTCTGGTCACTGACCTTCCAGTCACCTGCCTCTCTCCCCCTTGAGGTCTCTCCAATTATGGGCCTTTAGAAATTCTATCCTCATCCTTAATTCCTGTTTCCCTGCCATGGCAGATTCTCCCAGTTCTCACCTACAACACCTGCGATGTGCAGACTGAGTGGAGACCATGAAGTTAGGGAAAGGGCATGAACCCACATCCGTTACAGACTGAAAGAAATAATGTCTTACATGTAGTATTTTGAAAAAACTATGTAAGTTCTGCTTTGATTAATACAATGCAGAATAATTTAACTTTCTATGAAATCCACAGTAGTTTTTTTGTTGTTGTTGGTACGTATGTATGTTCAATTAAAGAATATTCACAATATAACGCAGAGGCTCCATGAAATTTTGCCATTAAAAAAGAGTCCCCTATTCAGATCATATACAAAATTAACTCAAGATGAACCAAGTTAAATTTAAGAACTGAAACTAAAAAAAAAAGAAAACATAAAGGTAAATCTTCATGATTTTGGATTTGGCAAATTCTTGGATATAACACCAAAAGCATGAATAACAAAATAAAAAATGACAAATTGGACTCTATCAAAATTTAAAACTTCTAGGCATCCAAGAACACTGTCAAGAACGTGAAAAGACATGGGGCTGGGCTGTGGCTCAGTGGTAGAGCACTTGCCTAGAATGCATGAGTCAGTGGGTTCGATCCTCAACACCACATAAATATAAAATAAAGATACTATAACCCCCTTAAAAAAAGAATGTGAAAAGACAAAAGAATAGAAGAAAATAACTGCAAATCATGTATCTAATAAAGGCACAGTATCTAAAATATAAAAAGAACTCTTACAATTCAACAAAAGACAACATTTCCAAGAAGACATACAAATGGCTAATAGACACATGAAATGATGCTCAGCATCACTTAGTCATTAGGGAAATGTAAAATCACAATACTTCATACCCATAAGGATAGCCTTAATACAAACAAAAGGGACATAACAAGTGCTGGCAAGGATATGAAGAAACTGTACATTGCCGGTAGAAGGCAAAATGATTCAGCCATTGTGAATCGTTTTGAAAACAGTTCGGTGTTTCCTCAAAAATTCACATAAACTGGGTGCAGTGGTACATATCTATAATCCCAGCAACTTGGAAGGCTGAGGCAGGAGGATCGCATATTTGATGTCATCCTGGGCAACTTAGTGAGATGTTGTCTCAAAAATTAAATGGGCTGAGGGTGCAGCTCAGTGGCACTCCTAGGTTCAATCCCCAGTACCAAAAAAAAAAAAAAAAGTTAACATAAAATTACTGTATAACCAGAACTGGGGATAAGGTTCAGTTGTAGAGCACTTGTCTGCCATGTGGGAAGCCCTAGCTTTATATCCCCAGCACTGAACATACACAAAACTATTACCACATGACCTAGTAATTTCTAGGTATATACACAAAAGAACTAAAAATAAGAACTCAAACAAAAACCCGCACACAAGTGTACAACAGTGCTATTCAGAATAACCCAAATGTCTATCAAAGAGGATGATATCCAAACAAAATATAGCTGGGTATGGTGGTGCATACCTGCAATCCCAGAGACTCAGGAGGCTGAGGCCAGCCTCAGCAATTTAGTGAGGTCCTAAGCAACAGTGAGACCCTGCCCCCTGCCTCAAAATAAAAAATAAAAAGAGTGGGGATGTAGCTCAGTGGTTAGGTGTCCCTGGGCTCAATTCCCAGTATTAAAAAAAAAAAAAAAAGGCAGCATATTCACACAATGGGATATTATTTGGTCATAAAAAGAATGCACTGCTGACACACAACATGAATAAACTTGGAAACACTACACTGCAAGAAGTCAGACACAAAATGGAATATGTGATATGATTCCATTTATATGAAATATGTACAACAAGTAAATTCATAGAGAAAAAAACAGACTGGTTGTTGCCAGGGACTGGGAGGGAGGAGAAATGGTTTGCAAGTGCTTAACTGGCACAGGTTTTATTTTGGGGAGACCAAAGTGTTCTGAAAGTAGATCAGAAGCAGTAAATATCAATGAATTATTTACTTTAAAACGGCTAATGTTGGGACTGGGATTGTGGCTCAGTGGTAGAGCACTCGCCTAGCATGGGCGAGACCCGGGTTCGATCCCCAGCACCACATAAAAATAAAGACATTGTGCTGTGTCCATCTACACCTAAAAAATAAATATTAAAAAAAAAAAGGCTAATGTTATGTTACATGAATTTCATCTCAATTTTTCAAAACCCAGTTTTCAGACGTGAGCTGGGTGTGGTGGTGCACATGCCTGCAATCCCAGCGGCACGCCTGCAATCTAATCGATGAGAAACAGCCAAGAGGAAAACGCAGTAAAATCAATTAATCCTTCACTAATTTGTTATATAAATGACAATAAAGTCCTTCTTCCCCTGTCTCCTAGAAAAATGTTTTCCAGCCTTTCTAAACCTAAGCATGACTTCAAAGGCTGACTAGGTCCATTCAGCCAAGGCTTAGTCCAAATGAAAAATCTTTATGGGAACATTTCAAAGGTAAAGCAAAGAAAAGGAAAACTCTGACATAAAATATAACCAATCAATTTTTAAATTTCAATCATTGTGAAAGAGTAATTGGTAAATCTAGCTTGTGTTATTGCTTCGCACATTCAAAGCTTGACTATGAAGTAAGACTATCTGTAATAACGCCTCATTACTTTTAGTCACACTTCAAAGCAAACACTTTTACTGGTAAATAGCTCTCCTCAGTAAGTTTCCTTGACAACCTGTTGAAAACTTACTGCCCTAAACCCCAAAACAAAAGAGAAAGTTCTTTACTTAGCCAGGGCCTTACTCCTTCCTGCCTTGTAAAATGCTAAAGGGTGTTCTGGTCAGTAATTTATTTGTTGGGGGAGGGGGAAGATGCCGGGGACTGAACCCAGGGCCTTGAACATTAAATTCTTATCATGAAGTTTAATTTTGACACACAAAATACTCTAAAAAATAAATTAAATGACAAAGTTCCTAAAAGATTCTGAAAGTAACGTGCTAAGGGGGGGAATCCTAGAATTTATCATTTGTTCAAAATATATTCAATAGGCACCATCACAAGCCAGGACTGGAGATACAGAAATTAAAACCACTGAAATTTTAAGACAGATCATAGTGGAGTACGGTCAACCAAGAACCAGACCTTTATGAAGCTTTAGTCATTGAGAAAGGTGACAGCACAGAGATGGATAAACACACCGTTAGGCTCATGATATGGTGACTGTATACAGCAGGCAGGAATCAACAAGGCAGGGACAATTTGTTTTCCATGTGGACACAGAGAGGAGATCATCATATCAACTACGACACGCATGTACAATGAAAGAATTAAAAAAAAAAGTAAGAATGATAAATCTAATGGAGGGAGAGAGAAATACAGCAATGTTTTATTTCTTAATTACTTTTCCTTTTTTTTTGGTGGTGGTACTGGCCTTGTACATGCTAGGCAAGTGCTCTCCTACTGAGCAACATCCCCAGTCCTTTTCTCTTTAAATTTTGAGACAGGGTCTTGTTAAGTTGTCCAGACTGCCACCATGTCCAGCAAGTTTTTTAAAGAACATGAAAAGCATATTTCCTGCTCTAAAGGTATCCAGTGGACTAAGAAAAAAAAAAAAAGCATAATTATACAGAGTTGGGAATGCTTTGGTTGAGTTATGAACAGGGTACCACCACGGCATCATGGGAAGAGAAGAGACACCTACTGAGGCTTGCGGGGAGGTGGTGGAGAGATAGTAACAGAAGTGACTTAAGCTGAATCCAAGCTCAAGAACAGTTATTCAACGCCAACAATAACAACAACAAAAATCGTTCAATGGCTACTGTGTGTCCATGTGCTTATAACACAAAACAAAGTGGTTCTAGTCTCAGCCCTTAAGAATTTAAAGTCAGCAACTGCTTACATGTCACTAACTGGCAGAGACCAGAATGCTCACCAGACAGTCCATGTTCTTGCCTACAGTATTTCCACCTCTCTTGCTGTTAGGTGGGGCCATGT